CATCTGCAGTGAACCATGACCATGCCTAACAGCAACTTTGAAATCTTCAAAAGGATGACAGGACCCCACAAAGATGATCCCACATGGACTATGGTAAAGCCATTAAGCTGATTAACACAATGGAAAGATAGACTTGGACTACAAACTTCTCAGGACAATTTCGAGATGGCTAGCTGAGATGATCCAGATTCACAGACAACTCAAGCAATGACTTGAGACAAGACCTACATCTTCCCATTATGCAGAGACTGGACGACAAATGATACAGCTACCTCTCCCAGGACTTGACAATTAACCCAAAAATTTTCTTTTCAGGATTCACTAAAGATGTCTTCACCCCCCAGAAAGCAGGAAGTAATTTTAAGAAAACAATGCCCACATTCCCCAGAGGTGGGGTGGGTGTTTTTTTGGTCGTTCAATGGCATATGGATAATTGTTATTGCTTACAATGGTTAGTTACAAGTTGTTAATTGTTAATGGTCAAAAAAAAGCTAAACAAAGGAGATTAGATAAAGGGTTATTCTTCAAAAAAAGAAAAAGAAAATATAGAAAAAGGTAGATCTTTGAATCTACTCTGAAAAAAAGGAAGATATAGAAATGATAAGATAAAAGGTAGATTTTTGGATCTACTCAAAAAAAGAGAATATGGATATGATAAGATATAAAGGGAGATTATTGAACCTACTTTTAAAAAGGAACTACTTGTTTTAAATAGGATAAGTAATGAAATTTTTTGTCTGAATTTGTCAAATGTTAATGGACTGGACATTGCTAATGTATATAATGGAGTTTTTTGTCTGAATCTGTCAAATGTTAATGGACTAGACATTGCTAACGTAATTCTTGACTGTATATATTGTATATATTTATTGGATATAGTTTTTCTTGTATTAGTTATAAGCTTTTTTAATTTTAGACAAAAAAGAGGAGAAATGTAGACGATATATTGTGCACCCCAACAAACTTATCTGGGGGTCAGAGAACAGAATAGCCACTAGATAGACATAGAGGCCAGAAAATGGTGGCACATACACCTTTAATCCTAGCATTCTGGAAGCAGAGATCCATCTGGATCTCTGTGAGTTCAAAGCCACACTGGAAACAGCCAGGCATGGTGGCACACATCTTTAATCCCAGGAAGTGACAGCAGGAAGCAGAAAGGTATATAAGGCATGACGTCCAGGAACTAGAGCTGGTTAAGCTTTTAGGCTTTTGAGCAGCAGTTCAGCTGAGATCTATTCAGATGAGGACACAGAGGCTTCCAGTTTGAGGAAACAGGATCAGCTGAGGAATTGGTGAGGTGAGGTTAGCTGTGGCTTGTTCTATTTCTCTGATCTTTCAGCATTCACCCCAATACCTGGCTCCGGGTTTGTCTTTATTAATAAGACCTTTTAAGATTTGTGCTACAGGGCTGACCACCAGGGATTAAGGAACACCGATTCTCCCTCTCAGCAGCCACTGATTGTCTGTAGCTATTCATCTGTGGTGAGACGTTGTGAGAGTTCCCCAACTAGGCTGGCATGTCAGCTGGTGACATTGTACAGGTCTTGTTTAGACAACCAGATTGTTGAGATTTCATGAGCACAGCAAAAAGAGGAAAAAGAAAGTGAGATCAAGAGAAGACCCAATGCTGAGCTACAGAAGCTCTGGAGATAGGGAAAGGAAGACAAAAAAAAATCTAAGACACAAAATGAATGTTTCAGAAGTTAATATTTCCAGGAGCAAGGGATGAAACTCAGTAAACTCATTTGCCTACCATGTTTAATCCCCAACATGGCAATCTGTTTAACTAATACTGAAAGACCCCCACCAAAGGCTCAGACACAGTTCCCCCAGAAACCCAAAAGAGCTGAGGGAAGAGATAGCTTAAAAATAAACAGAACTGAGTCAGTTCCCCCTTCCTGGAGAGGGTGAAGTCAGGTGTTTTCAAAAGAACAAAGTCAGGATGTCTGGTGGTGACCGATTAACCACGAGATGCCCCTCTCCAGAGATAACATGACCAGAACCCGGAGATGGGTTGTAAAACTCCTGACAGGGCAAACAGATAAGCTGAAATAAGACAAAGTCCCGGCCCAGGAAAAACTGGACCAATCAAGGATGGACCCGTACTAACCCCCTCCCCTCTAAGAAATTTTGTGGGTTTTGCCTATAAAAACTAACTTCCCCAAGAAAGAGTAACTCCACTCTGCCTCACTGCCAGTGAGTGCTGGAGATGAGTTCCCTGTCTTGACTTGTAGCAGAAATAAACCTTGCTTTTGCATTCTGGTACGCTTGTCCTCGGTGGTCTCTCTGGGGGTCACAATCTGGCCACAACAATACTATATTGAGAGACCCATTGGATAAGGAAGAATGGATGAAGACCTACCACCCAAGGAATATCATTGTGAAATCTCAGATAATGGACTAGAGTAAAACATAAAAGCCTGTAGAAGCCGGGCGGTGGTGGCGCACGCCTTTAATCCCAGCACTCGGGAGGCAGAGCCAGGCGGATCTCTGTGAGTTCAAGGCCAGCCTGGGCTACCAAGTAAGTTCCAGGAAAGGCGCAAAGCTACACAGAGAAACCCTGTCTCGAAAAACCAAAAAAAAAATAAAAAATAAAAAATAAAAGCCTGTAGAAAGAAAAAAAACAAGCTCCATACAAAAAAATTGAGAAGCAGAATGCCATGTGCTTGTCTCTCCATGCTTCTTAATACAATAGTTTGCCCCCCCCCCCCCCGCAAAAAAATAGCTCCTAATGCTGAATTTTGTGTCTACCCAAACTAAATTAAGGGAGTTGATAAAACACAGTTTTAAAAGAAGCATGTCTCAAAGGTTTAAATTCCATATTCCCTTTCCTTAAAATAGAAATTTAACAAAGACAAAACCAAGCAAACAAAAGCAGAAAAACTAGATCTTGAAGTGTCTTCAATGCAAAGTGAGAGAGATTCCCCTGGATGTGTAGAGAGATCCCAGAATCACTGTTTGCCATCTTAAGGAAAGAACTAGGGGTCTAGTGGGCATAGCTCTTAGAAAATGAAACTGATAAAAGGATTAATCTTGTCGAGAGGAATTGTATACGTCTAGAATCTGGGGATTCCGGTCAGGAATAAAGAAAACCATATCAATTCGTGCAAGAAGGAAAAGAATCTCCTACTAAGATTAAGCCAACTGGTGGAGGCTGACATTAGCGATGATGTAAAAGAAGCCTTGTGAGAGGGTAAGGCAGGACTTTTGGTGTGGTTTGCCCCTGGTTCAGAAACCTGAGGCACTTCCCTTTCCCCCCACCACATTCATCCATGCCTTCTAACCCAACAATTTACTCAAGCCACTACAGCCACATTCCATCAAGCAGACACAGGGGAGAGATAAAAGCAACAAGCTGGCTTCCCCTCCTCCTTTCAGTCATTTACATTACTGGGCTGACATTTCCTAGGGGTGAAGACTGTCCCATGACCACAGCAAGCTAAATTTTCTAGTACTGATTTTATTTTCCAGGCCAAACAGATGAATGGATGGATGAATGGATACTCACACACACACACACACACACACACACACACACACACACACACAGTCTTTGTTCCCTTCCTCCAGATATACTGTTCATTCATACTGTTTACTAATTCTCTCATGAACAGCACACACTAGATCCAGGGCCCAGTGAAAAAGACATCAAAATCCATATATGCTCAAGTCCCTTCTACGGCATTTGCACATAACACACACTCACCTTCCTAGGTATCTCAGGCCATGCAAATATTTGCTATATACTCTATTGTGTCCATAATGCAAAAGAAAACCTCTGTACATATCCAGAACAGATAATTTCCCCCAATATTCTGCTTTCTCTGGTTAAGTCCACATATGCTCACCCCAGCTACATGGAGCTGACTGTATTTTCTCTTCCGTCATGTTTTGTACAAATTGTAAACTCTAATGGGGAAAGAACTACTTTTTTCCCCACTTCCATAGTTTCTAGGAAAGTGCCTGCAGCATAAAAGAAATGCAATAAGCATTAATTGAGTAAGTAAATGAACTGTTAACTCAGGGCTGAAAAAACAGTCTGACAGATTTTAATCAAGTAGAGGCTGTCTTTACACAAATGATACTTCGTTTAAATTTGCTGGTTTAGGAAATAACGTCTTCAGAAAAAAAAGGCTAAATTCTTCCAGAATTACTAATTTTTTTTTAAAAAACCTCCCTCATCTAAGCAAAACCCCTTCCACAAGGCACCTCAATAAAACCATACCTGATAAGCCTATTTATTATTCTTCCCAGTCTCTAACGATATAAGGAATGTTATTGAAATGCATGCAGTAACTATTAACAAGAAGAGTCATAAATTATAATGTAGATTAATGTGGTAATTATTTTAAACACTTGGAGACGCCAGAAGGCAAGTGCTACGATGTGATCTAAATTCTCATTTTTCTAGTAAATGGACATTATCTGTAAATAGAAAACTACTGAACACCAGAATTCCTAACAGAGACAACCATGGGGAAAAAAACAGCTATAACATGTTAGATGAAGTTATCCTGGCCACCAACAACCAAACAAGGAGTACCTAAGAGGTCAGCTGTTTTAAGTAGCAGAGAGCAATTTACTTTTTTTTTTTTTTTTTTTTTTTTTGGATTTTTCGAGACAGGGTTTCTCTGTGTAGCTTTGCGCCTTTCCTGGAACTCACTTGGTAGTCCAGGCTGGCCTCGAACTCACAGAGATCCTCCTGGCTCTGCCTCCCGAGTGCTGGGATTAAAGGCGTGCGCCACCACCGCCCGGCGCAATTTACTTTTGATCCCTCTGCATATGACTGTGAAGGTCTCATTTCAGGCCTGTGACCCCACTGTTCTGAGCACCAGGAAAATTAACCCATCGTTATTCAGAGCCTCCCAGGCCATGCTTGGTGTCAACACTTGAGTACTCTGCGATAAAGGTGAAGGCTCCTGGTTCTTGTCCCAGGTCACCCCACCCGGAGATTTTAAAGCACCCACGTACATTCACACCGGGCTCTACATTTTGGAGTGTTAGTACCCTAGGGGACTTAAAATGGTGGCCCAGGGTGTGGAACTCCACGGAGCTCAGGGTTCTGCTCATTGCAACATCACCTCTGACGTCAGAGCCGGAATTTTGTAGAACAAAGGCCGAGCAAAGGGTCGGAGTTGACACTACAGACAGAAAAGGAGAGGTGTAGAGCCGCTCCCAGTCCAGCGCAGACCTAACCGAGCAGGCCAGCGCGCCAGGAAGTGGGGAGAGCGCGATCCCAGCACCAGCAGCGGTGGTTCTGCTGTTCCGCGCGCTCCAGAGGAGCCATGCTCGCACTCCGAAACGGCCTGAGGAAGGTGCTGGCCCCGTGGGCGCTGGCGCCTCAGGTACCTGCCGCGGCCAGCAGGGAGGTGGGCGGAGCTGTGTGGGGCGCAGGCACTCTTGGTGAGGCTTGGTGCTAAGGGGGTGTACCCTCGGTTCCCTGGCACCGGCGAGTCTCGGCCTGGGACAACCCTGCCCAGCAGCGCCCATCAGTTAGGGCGGGACTGGGACCTCGGGAAATTCGACTAGGATAGAAGAGATGAGGACCAAAGGGAGCCATCCGCCCAGCCCTTGCTGTTGAGCACCGGCTTATCCTGGGAATAAATAGTTCCTTCGGGTGGGGAATTTGACTTAACCCAAATGGAGGGAGAGTAATCATGTTAAGCTAGTCTAGAACCGGGTAAACCTTGAAGAAGAGACTAGTGACTGCATGACTGCTCACCCAGCGTTGCCCAGGCAACGCCACCAATTATTTCCTAACAGTTTTTCACTGAACTTTTATTTTTTTGTTTGTTTGTTTATTTTACCAACGTTCTCTTTAATGAGTCGGTGCTGGCAAGAACAAGTCTAAGTTGCACAAAACGAAGTCCATGATTCCTCCTGTAATTTCAGCGTAATTCTGACTCTACAACAAAAACCTTGAAAATCGTTTCTATCTAGTCATTCACACACCTTTCTGTAGGTTCCCTCCTATATATTATGTCCTGGAAATAATAATGAAAGTTTGTGCCTGTGACAAGTATTTCATACTCCAAATGCACACTCATTCTTTGAATCAACCTATAAAGTATTGTGAATGCCATTAACTTATTTTCTGATGTCTTATTCATTTTTAAACTATAGATAATAAGCAGTTCTACTAAACCCATTTGTAGATTTTGGTGAAACACACACACACACACACAGTCCATCATATGCAGAGACAGCTGCAGATTTTTATAGGAAGTTTACTGATTTGCACAGTAAGAACACAGTTCAGAGCAGACATCAATGGAATGAACTAAAGGTAGAAAATTATATTAAGCTTTATGTAAAATGAAGTATTTTTAAGAAAAAAATTTATTAGGGGGGAATAGATTACTTTTTCTATCCATAATAAGTTGTCCATGTGTACAGTGATTTTTCCATACTTTTATATTCATCTGACCTGTTTTAACAGAATTTTCTGGTATTATTAGCTTCATGAAATGGGTACATGATACCCCCAACTTGAAAATAAGATGTGTTTTTACAGTACAATGTCATACAATGTGTGTACACACATATATGTGCATATGTACAGACATACACAAGGTAATTTCTGACAAAGAATTTCCCAGGGAAAAGTGCTCTCAGATCAAGAAGTAGAAACTTACATAGTAAATATGATTATTTTTAAAAAGATAATACCTGAGAGGCAGAACCACACTGGTACAACTAGATGCATTAAAGCTCATCTTTGCTTTGTGTTTCTCATTAGAAATTAATAGTAATTCTGGCAATTTTTCTTAGCATCCATGGTCTATTACAGTGGTTCTCAACCTGTGGGTCGACCCCTTTAAGGTGGCATATCAGATATCCTGCGTATCAGATATTTACATCACTATTCATAACAGTAGCAAAGTTACAGTTATGAAGTAGCAAAAGAAATAATGTTATGGTTGAGGGTCACCATAGCATGAGAAACTGTATTGAGGATTGCAGCACTAGGAAGGTTGAGGACCCCTGGTCTATTACCAGACTTGGTAATGCAGTTGGATAGTGATAGCATTATAACGCATTGCCTATATCCCAGTTCTATTCCTGTTGAATGTAGGAAGATTTCTTCGACCTGAATGGCAATTTCTCTTTTTTAAAAAGTTTTCTTTTAGTAAGCATGTTTGTTGTGTATGTCCAAAGACATACAGTCTATGGAGTTCTCTCAGATATGTAACTGTAGTCACACATACTACAGATTAAAAGAATATAAGGGAAAAACAAAATGTACGTGACTCCTAACTGTAGCTCTCAAGCACAGGAGCATCTCTAAGGTAGCACTGCCTTAGTTTGGGGCAACTTTCTATGAAAGGGTGGCTTAAGGAGAATCCACATGTTTAACTGTAGTTATCTTCAAAATCGACTAAAATATGTCTATGGAGAGTTGACAAGAAAAATGGCAACAGGACTTGGGACTCAGCTATTGTGTCCCCCGTCACCAGACCCAGATTTGGTTGGACGACAACACACAGTCTGTGCTCCCTCAAATACTGAGATTTGACTTCTCTTTCTTCAGGTGTGCTCATCTTTTGCTACTGGCCGCAGACAAACCGAAGGAACATTCTATGAGTTTTGTACTTATTATCTTAAACCTTCAAAGATGAAAGAGTTCCTGAAAAATTTTAAGAAAAATGTTCATCTTCGGACAGCTCACTCGGAATTGGTTGGATATTGGAGTGTAGAATTTGGAGGCAGAATAAACAGAGTATTCCATATTTGGAAGTATGGTATGAGTTGCCCAGTTCAAATGTTCAGTATAGATTTCTATTCTGGTAGATGCTACAGAAGTCTTAGATGGATATATATTAATATAAATATAGATTAAGGAGAACTTTTTTAAAGCAATGCAGAACCAAAAAGTAAATTCAGTGACCACTCTTCTTGGTCCACCTTTAATAACCTTTCCCAAAGTCTAACATAACTGGGAAATTATGAGTTCTCATCCATTCATTAAATTGTAGACTACAATTCTCAAAAAAAAAGTGACTTACTGAAAAACGGTTTTAATGCAAAATTTAAAACTATTTACACAAGTCCAAGTAGATTAAGATCACAGAATGAAAGAGGTATCTGATGCTAGACCTGGACATCACTGTCTTAGTGGAAGCAGTTTGCACATTCAGGATTTTGGGTAAATGAAGGTTGAGAGATGATGACAGTCAACTTTTGATCTTCCCCCTACCCTGAAGCTTATTGATCCCATTTCATTTAGAAACTATTTTCAGTTCATTTCTACATCCCAGAGTTAATGAATTTGCTGCCATATTACTTTAAGAAGTTAAGGGAGCCGGGCGGTGGTGGCGCACGCCTTTAATCCCAGCACTCGGGAGGCAGAGCCAGGCGGATCTCTGTGAGTTCGAGGCCAGCCTGGACTACCAAGTGAGTTCCAGGAAAGGCGCAAAGCTACACAGAGAAACCCTGTCTCGAAAAACCAAAAAAAAAAAAAAAAAGAAGTTAAGGGAAATACATTACTAAGAGTCATCATACTGAAGCTGCACTGCCTTGAAAAAGGAGAACATCACAGAATTATTCAGAATGCTTGCTAACTTTTTATAAGTCTAACCTTAAAATAGCCTTCACCAGGATTTGAGCATATGTTCAGCAAACTCTTAATAATTAATTGCATTTAGTGTTTGGTCATCTGTTTTCAATTAATGTTCACAAATATTCTTTAGTGAGAAAAGATTCTGTAGATGACATGGGTATGCTTTGTTTTGTTTTGTTTTCGGTTTTAAAAGACAACAAACACTGTTAGTACAACTTAGGCTTCACACATGGTTCATTTTAAGTCATGGCCCATTGAGGACAGTAATGAAGTCTTAATTTACCTCACTCTAGGCATATGTTATTCCTATTCCTAGCATAAACTACATAAATATTTTACCTTAGTCTCATAAGGCCTTTACAATAAATATAGTACTAGACCCATACATAGTTAAACATGTCTACCTACTTCAGTAACTAAGAAAGCAGAGATATGAGTGCTGGAGAGAAACAATGGCTGACAATAGTATGAGAATCAGCACTATTTCTTTGGAAGTTATTTGTACAACGGAACCAATGCCAAGTACATTCAAATTTCATTTAATGTTAAAATTTATTCAGGATAAGTCTTGCCTACCTATCAACATACTGAAATAAAGTTTGTCTTTCAACTGACACTGTCAATTGAATGCCTCAATTGAATAGTAAGAATAGTCCACGTGTAAGTGTTCAACACTATTGTAAGCCCTCTTTATTCATGTAATTCTCACCACAGACCTGGGGGTTGATGTTATATTATTTACATGTATCACAGACTCAGAAACAAGGCAGATGAACATACAGTAGCTTAACTCCTGTACAGAGCTACCTTTGGAGAGATAAGACCTGTGAAGCCCATTCAATGAGGTCACGTTGGTTGTTTTCATTTCTTTAGCCCTGAAAACCAGGAGCAACTTGATGCAGATATGACATTTCTTCACATAGCTGTTCCCAAATCCACAAACACAGTGTTCTTGTGTGCTCCAGATGAATGATTAATGATCTGGATGTAATACAAAGAAGCATCGATGGTTTTAAACCATTTATAAAAAAGTTTTTCTCCATTCTTTTCTACCATAGATAATTTTGCTCATCGAGCTGCAGTTTTCAAAGCCTTGGCCAGTGATCCAGACTGGCAAGAACGATTCTTCATTCCAAATTTGGCTTCCATTGATAAACAAGAGAGTGAAATTGTCTATCTGGTACCATGGTGCAAAATGGGAACGCCTCCCAAGGAAGGTGTGTCTCTCTTAGCCTCTCTGAGTTTTCATGACTGAAATGGTACAGATGTTAAGTTCTTATGTACTTTGAGACCAGGGGGAGCCTCCCTTTTATATATGGACATAAGTAATCATTGAGATAAAAGTAAAGTGCAGCTCTTTGCTCATCCTTAAAAAGTGAGGACCAATGAAGAATTCTTCCCACTTGAAGGTTTCTGGATTTGTAAACCCTAGCTATGTTATAGAAAATTTCCATGGTCAATAAAGGTTGAACACTGCACATTGAGACCCAGACACCATTGGTGGGGTGGTGAGCGTTCATATATTCTATCATTGTTTTAAAACAATAATTAATATTTAAATATAACTATATTTTATATATCCCTATACAAATGTAGATATGTTTATTATATTAAATATGTGTATAAGTTACACTCAATTTTAAATCAGTGTCTATGTTTTTCCTACAAAACAGACCATTTGGGGGAATTGATTAAATGGAGTAGCCAAGCTCTATTACTATCATAACTTTTGTATTCCTCTTCCTTACTTTCAGTTTGAAAAGAATTCTTTCTCTTCTTGCTGATTTCACTTCTTGTGTGTTTAAAGAAACTATTGCTAAGTCTAATTTTCACAAGAAGCCAGATTAGAAAAGCATAAACTAATTAGAAATTTATTTTTCTTTGTTGTTCTCAGCTTTGTAGTATGTTTTAGATGACACCCCAAAGAAACCTGAAAAGCTTTATTTGGCTCCTGCCCCCACAGGTCTCCTAGAAGCTCTCAGCACATCTAAATAAAATAGTTGTCTTCTCCATTAGGTCTACTTGTAACCTAGTTCTTTGCCTCTGCTGATTCTACACTTCTGTGGAGAGATAAAATACATTTCAAATATATAGATATTTGAAATAAATATTTAGGAACAATAAAATTATATCTATAGGTTGGTTTGTTTTTCCAAAATATGGAAATATAAATATCATTTCTGCTACATTGTTAGATTTCTCTTCCTATTGGATATGAAAATTTACAGTGGCAAAATACACAAAAAAAAAATGGTGGAAGTTGAGAGTAAAAACATAGGCATTGCAGAAAAACTTTATTTTATTTTGTTGTTAACCTCGGATTTTATACATTCATGGCAAGTGCTCTGTCACTGAGCCACCTCTCCAAATCCATGGAAAATTATTTGATTAAGTTCTTTCCTAAAAGTATACATTTAGGCCATTCAAAATATCTTACTCGCCGGGCAGTGGTGGCGCACGCCTTTAATCCCAGCACTCGGGAGGCAGAGGCAGGCGGATCTTTGTGAGTTCGAGGCCAGCCTGGTCTACGGAGCGAGATCCAGGAAAGGCGCAAAGCTACACAGAGAAACCCTGTCTCGAAAAACCAAAAAAAAAAAAAAAAAAAAAAAAAAAAATATCTTACTCCACCAATTTCTCAATATCTACTTTAGTAACAAGTTTTTACACTAAAATATTTCAGATAATAATTTATATATAGTTTCTAGTTTTTCTCTTAAAACCATTTTAATTCATTCTCTCTCTCTCTCTCTCTCTCTCTCTCTCTCTCTCTCTCTCTCTCTCTCTCTCTGTCTCTCTCAGTGTGTGCGTGTGTGTGTGTGTGTGTGTGTGTGTGTGTGTGTGTGTGTGTGTGTGTGCAGTGAATGCAAATACCTGTTGTGGAAACCAGAAGTGTGAAATATATAAGAGCTAGTTAAAGGCTGTTGCCAGCTTCCTGACATGGGTGCTGGGAACTGAACCTTGGTCCTCCATAAGAGCAGTTCATGCTCTTAACTACAGAACTATCTCTCCAGCCCTCACTGGCCCCCTACTTTTTGTCATCTGTAGAATTAAATGTAATAGCATAAATAAGTTAAACATGGACAATGGATTTCTAAGCATAAAATTAAGGGAAATAATGCAAATGTAATTAATACATCTGTATAAATGTGTATACGTGCAATCCTTCAAATATATACATGTAGATCAGGCTTCTTCTACTGAAACCAAGTGAATATGAATACGAGTAAAAATTCCTTGACTATCATTATTTAAATTACTTTTTCCATATTCTAGGAGTCTATGAACTTGCTACTTTTCTTATGAAACCTGGTGGCCCAGCTCTATGGGGTGACCCATTTGAAAGAGCAGTAACTGCCCATGCCAAACAAGGCTACACTGAACTAATTGGTGTGTTTCATACAGAATACGGAAAACTCAACAGAGGTACAGATGTCCATTTATTTTAAAATTTCTGTGCATATTAGTGACCTATTTATCTGCTAGGATCCTTCAGTTAAAGTTCATATATTATTGACAAGTTCTTGTACTTTTATCATTTTAAAGAGTTGATAAGTTGTCTCTTTCCTATTTAGAATTTAACACCTACCAAAACTATTTTGAAATGCTAAACTTCTGTTTCCTGGCACATAAAATGAACAAATTTTAACAACCATAAGAACCTCAAGAAATAGTGTATTTCTTTATAATCTTTTTATTCCTTTAAATATATTATTATCGGTGCTAGGGACTGAACCCAGGGCCTTATGCATGCTAGACAAGTGCTCTACCACTGAACTATATCCCCTGTCCTAATTAGGTTTCTATTGCTGGGACAGCACACCACAGCCAAAAGCAACTAGGGGAGATAAGGGTTTATTTCAGCTTATTCTCCCTGTTAGTAGTCCACCAGGAAGAAAAGTCGGGCAGGAACTCAAGGCAGGAACCTGGAGGCAGGAACTGAAGCAGAAGCCAGAGAAGAATGTTGTTTCCTGGCCTGCTCCCCCTGATTTTCTGAGTCTGCTTTTTATATGACCCAGGTATACATTCCCAAGTCAGGAGTGACACCAGCCCCAGTTGGCTCGTCTTTTCCACACCAATCATTAATCAAGAAAAATTCTCCACAGTCTTGCCCCAATCTATCTTATAGAGCACATTTTCTCACTGAAGCTCTCTTTTCTCAGACAAATCAAGCTTTTGTGTCAAGGTAACAAAAAACTAACACAATTTAACCATTGTCAGCTTGACATATAAACACATTGTGATTAAATTATAAACTTTCCCTTGTTTGTTCCCCCAAGATGTCATGTTAATATTATCACAGTATAAAACGTAGTATAACTTTAAAAAGTCATACCATCTTTAAACGTTCAATCTCTTTAAAATATCCAAAGTCTCTTAACTGTAAGCTCTTGTAAAATCTTATTCCAAGATGGAAGAACCAGAGCACAGTATCAAATTCAAAGCAAACCCAAAATTCAATTGTATAAAAAAGTTCAGTGCCTGACATCTGGGACCTATTCATGGATCGATTGTCTGGGCTTCAAAGGGCCATGGAGGCTCCACTTCTCTAGTTTTGCCAACCTCAGAACCCACAGCTTACCTCCTAGACTCAGCCTGCTCTGCTCCATAGCTGCCACTGCCCTGGGCAGTCTCTCACTATCCTGGCATCTCCAATATGCTGAGTCCTCTGCTGCAGCTGAGGCTGCATCCTCACCAGTGACCTTTCCTGGTCTCTCTTCAGGGACTCCAACCCTGCTACACAGTGCCAAGTCTCAGCTGCCCTCCATGACACCTGTATGCCTTCAAAACCAGTACCACCTGGGTGACCCTTACACATTCATTACCAAGTTCAGCTGCCAACATAAGATGCAAAAATAAAGTACTATAAAATATAGTAGGAAGTCATACAGTCTGGATCTTGAGTTCCTTTAGCTATCTTACTTTTCTTCCCTTTTCAAGCCTGTTTCATTTCTTCATCTATAAAACCAGTTGGATTAATTAATCTATAATTTTTTTTCCAAGTCTCTGACTCCTCTGAAATCTCATCACTGAAATATTTAGTATCAGTCTTTTAACTTAAAGTAATTGGACTTTTTTTTTTTTACTTAATTTCTCTGTATTTGTGTATAAATGCCTTTCTGATTTACCTCTGCAGTCCATGTTCTGTGGTGGAACGAGAGCGCGGACAGTCGTGCAGCGGGGAGACATCAGTCTCATGAGGATCCCAGAGTCGTGGCTGCTGGTGAGCTGTTTCATTGGGCATGCATTATTTTTAGAACAAATTTGATTCAGCTTATAACTTTATATGTCTTATGCAATGTCTTTTCAGTTCGGGAAAGTGTCAATTACCTAGATATGCAGCAGAATATGTTCCTAATTCCTGAGTCATTTTCACCATTGAAATAGTTTCCTACCGACGGTTTCAGTACCTGATGTGATGTGTGCCAGTAGACGGTGTTTCAATTCTCTCAATCGAATTTCTACTTTTTATTTGAAGGAAGTGGTAAGTTAATTTATTATGTCCCTTGCATTTTTTAAGCCCATCTAGGTCCCTTTTATTAAACCCATCTCTACATGGGAAATAGAATTCATTTTTCCCCATGCCACCTCATTATCTGACATACATTACGGCGGTGGCGCACACCTTTAATCCCAGAACTCAGGAGGCAGAGCCAGGCGGATCTCTGTGAGTTCGAGACCAGCCTGGTCTACAGAGTGAGATCCAAGACAGGCTCCAAAACTACACAGAGGAACCCTGTCTCGAAAAGCCAAAAAAAAAAATTAATAATTTAAAAACAATGTCATTTGGTCCCAGTAAAATCTTTGAATGCTCTTTGGTTTATAAGATGAAATGTCTTATTATTAATTTTACTAATATTTACTTCATTCAGATGCTTTCTAACAAAGATACTTGGTCACTATATCAAGATCTTTGTTTTTCATTTGTTTCAGAATAGCTCTTCTGTAGGACAACCCCTTGTTCAAATGAGATCACATTTCCAAGCTTGTAACCATATTTTTTAATTATTAATAAATATGTGAACCTTGTAAATTGTCTTTTTGCCTGAAATGTTTTGCTCCAGTAGCTTATTTTGTAATATAAAATGGAATTCATGAAAATATTAAACTTTTTTCATATGAAAAACTGTATAATCATCTGTGTTGTCCGTATTGTCAGTCATTCACTTAGAAAATAATAGATCAGCATACTGAAAGTTTTGATGACTCTACTTTATATGCTGAAATGTTATTTATAATTAATTTAACTAACATTTATTTCATTTTTTATCCTACTTAACAGAGATGTTTGAAATATCTTTATTTAAATGAGGTCATTATAGATGTGGAAACATTTGCCCTAATTAAAAAAAAATTACCTATATATTCTGGTGCTTTCTACTAGGTTTTATATTTTCATCATCCTCTTTGGAATTGATGTAATGAGGAGAAAGGAATAATTTATTGTCCTTATTGTAAATATGTGTACATTAAGGAAACATCATGCTACTTGTTATGGTTTGGATCTAGAACAGCGCCCCTCCCCCAGGCTCATCAGTTGACTTGGTCAACTAGTAGCAGCATACTGGGTGGTAGTAAAAAGCTTAAGAGGTAGGGCCTAGATGAAGAAAATACATCTCTGGTCTTGGGCCCTTGAAAAGTATATTGTAACCCCTTCCTCTGTCTCTGTTTCCTGGTTGCCACAAAGTGAGCAGCTTTCTTCCACCATAATGTACTACCTGGGTTCTATAGTCCAAAAAGCAACTGTGCTAAGCACCCATTCCTAAAGCCCCTAAAAACATAAAACAAAATAAACCTTTCTTCTTCTAACTTTATTGTTCACAGGTATTTTGTCATAGCCAGGCCTTTCCTGTTCCATCAAGAGTGTAGGATCATTGCATTACAGCTACAAACATGCTTATCCCTCACCATTTGGAAAGGACTGACATGAGTCTCACTTTTGGACATAGCAGCCCAACCCACTGGGCAGGGAGGACAGGCAGTATCTTGGTTTTGTTTCTGTTGTACTGGCAGGTAGGTGAGGAATTCTGTATACCTTGGTTCCCATTGGAAAAGATCCATGATGGTCTGGGAACTAAGGTTGTGGTACACTTCTCTTCTCCAAGCATTCAGGTCTTGTGTCTGCAAAAGAAGGACATAGTAGCATCACGTAGGAGGGCCTGGACTGTCTGGATGCATTAGGAGCACAGGATAATCTGGAAAAGATGAACACAGTCTCATTTGTTTTTCTTTGTTTTGGTCTTTGGGTTTGTTTGTTTGTCTTGAAAAGGGATCTCATTTGTACAGTCTAGACTAGTCTAGCACTCACTGTCTGGCTAATGATTTCCTCAAGCTCCTATCCTCCTCTCCCCACTTCTGTGCTGGCTAGTTTTATGTCAACTTGACACAATCTACAGTCATCTGAGAAGAGGGAATGATAATTGAGAAAATACCTCCATAAGATCAGACTATAAGTAAGCCTGTAGAGCATTTTCTCAATTAAGTGACTGATTGTGGGTAGGGACATCCCTGTGCTGGTAGGCCTGGGTTTTTTAAGAAAGCAGGCTGAGCAAGCCATGGGGGATCAAACCAGTAAACAACACCCCTCCATGGCCTCTGCATCAGCTCCTGTCTCCAGGTTCTTATCCCATTTGAGTTCTTGTCCGGGCTTCCTTTAATGATGGACTATGATGTGAACTGTAAGCCAAATGAACCGCTTCTTCCCCAAGTTGCTTTTGGTTATGGTGTTTCATCACAGTGATAGTAACCCTAACTAGGACAGCTTCCTAAATGTTGGAATTACAGGCCTGTACCATCATAGAGACAGAGATAGGCAGATCTCTGTGAGTTTGAGACCAGTCTGCAGAGAGAGTTCCAGGACAGCCAAGGCTACACACACACACACACAAAAAAAAAAAAAAAAAAAACACCCTACCTTGAAAAGCAAAAATGAAATCTCTAAAGATTGAACTCCTTCGATCTAATCAGAACCAGCATCTGACATACAAAAGATATTCATTGATCTGTATTCCAGACGCTACATACTGAAAGTTCATAGTTAACAAGACAAAGTACCTGCTTTCATGTAGTCAGTATTCCTGAAGAATTACATAAAACATACAAGTTAAATAGCATACATAACCTTGACTAAAAATAGAGCAAAAGAGGAGGGCAGTGAGTGCGGTGACAAGGGTCCAGTTTAGCTAGAGGTAGTCTCTCTGAGATGATTATCTATCCAAAATCTAAACAATGAGAATGATCAAGCCAGGAAGACTTAGAGAGAAGAATACTGCAGCAAGGGTGCCAGAATGTGTGCAGACAGAAGTTCTCAGAAGAAATGAGTTTTAATGCTCAACAACCAACAGGAAGGCAGTAGGCAAGAATGCAGTGAGCTAAGAGGAAGAGTGAAGTGAAGAAAGAGGGATAGGAGCCAACTCACATAGAACTGGGAAGGAGTTTGGATTTTCTGCTCAATGTGCTGAAAATTGCTGTAGTGTTTAGCAAAATACACGTTTTATTTTTTTTAAGATTGTGTGTGTGTGTGTGTGTGTGTGTGTGTGTGTGTGTGTGTGTGTGTGTGTATGTGTGTGTGTGTACCACTAGAGGCCAGAAGAGGGTGCTGGGTCTCTGAGAGCTGGAGGTATAGGTGACTGTGAGCAATCTGATGTGGATACTGGGAGCTGAACTTAGGTCCTCTGTAAGAACAGTATGTGCTCTTAACCACTGAGCCACTTCTCCAGCCCCTAAATCCTAATTTTAAAAAAAAAATAAGATTCTGTAATGATTTTTTTTCTGAGGATGTTAGGTCCTCTAAATGTTTGCTCCTTGAACTCTCTTTAGGTTACTGTATTAGCTTTTTTTAAAATGAAGTGATTCAAAGGACAATGGTGCTAATAAATGCAGTGGCAGACACACTAATCCAGGAACTTCAGAAAGTAGACAGTGACCCCATGTCAGCATGACTCAGAATGCTCAGTCCTGACATTCTTTGCCTTGGAGACTAAGAAAGACCACACCAGGCCATGAGTCCAGCTTAGCATGGAACAGTGGTTCTCAACCTATGGGTCACTCCCTTTGGAGGTCAAATGACCCTCTTTCACAGGGGTTACAATGTTATCAGATATCTTGCATATCAAATATTTACATTAACATTCACAACAGTAGCAAAATTTCAGTTATGAAGTAGCAACAAAAGTAATTTTTATGGTTGGGGGTTACTACAACATGAGGAACTGTATTAAAGGGTCACATCATTAGGGAGGTTGAGAACCACTGGCACAGAGGAAGGCTGAGGGAACAAAGCCTGGACCAGAAACCAGAAGATCTGAATCCTAGTTCTGACTCTACAAGTGTGTCCATGTGACATCACTTACCCCTTTAGACTTTGTTTCCTTGGTTGTAATCTAAGAATTAGAACATGTTCAGACCAAATACACATAGAACCACCTCCCCAGCAATGGCTACAAGCAGAGACAACAGCAGTCATTGTCTCCCATGATCAATTCAGAAAGCATGATTATCTAAATCCCTATTTGAAACTTCTCAAACTCTACCTCCTCTCAAAATAATGAGGCATACATACTTTACAAGTAAACCCAAGGCCTTTTCCTGTGTTGCTGACAAACTTGTTCCCTAAAGGCATGGATATTTAATTGATGCCCTTAGTTCTATTATTCTATAATATCAGTGTAGAAACTTATCAAGTAAATACAGTCACATAGCATATAATGTTTTGGTTAGTTATGGACTGCATAGAACACAGAAATCCGATAAACTACACAGTCTAATGAAACAGTGATTTTAGTTTGTAAGTACATTCTATGATCATGCAAGTATAAAAATATCAACAATCTTAGAATGTCCTCATTAAAAGATACATGGTTGTAATTCTATAGGGAAATAAGGTAATGAAAATTATTTTATTATCACCATCACCTTAAGTGACAGTATCATTCTCACCAATAACAATCATGCTGAAAGCCAGAGAGACAAAAATAATTTGTAACTTATTAAGTCACACAACTATTAAGTTTCAAAAGCAGAATTCCAATTCAGGAATGCATGCTCTAAAACCATGTTCTTCAGATTACTCATACATTCTGCAGAGAAGACTGTCTGTAGACTTTATCTTTCTGAATTTTATAGGGTAAAATATTCTTCCTTCTATTCAAGTGAGTGAGCAAGCACAAATCGACTTGTGGGCAATAATATAATGAATGAGTCTTTTCTGTTGGCCAAGTGTTTTCTAATCTATCTTGGCTTACCAGTTTGAGTTAAACTTCAACTTAGAAAAAAATAAATCAATTTTCTAGTAAATTCATATGTCAAGTACATCTGGCATAACATCTGTCATATTGTGAAAGTTAAAGTGAAACCACAATCCAGTATCAGTCCTCATTCTAAACATTTGTTTGTTTTTATTCTTGTAATAACCCTGTATCATAGATAGCATAAAACAGCATATCTCACCCACACACATACAAACTATTGCTGTGTGAATTTTTAGACCTTCATTCAATGTGATCCCCTGCCCCTCTGGCCAACTGAACATGTCTGTCTGGAAATTATACAAGAAGTCAACACTGAAGATCATTGTTATCTTAAGTATTTCTGTAGTTGCCCTGTTTCTCCTTCCAGCATCTTCAGTAAGTCTTCAAATCAATAAGAAAAAATAAAACAAACAAAAACCAAAAAATGACTGAAAACTGAACAAATGTAATAAACTAGGGCCTTAAAAAATAAAAATGACACAGCTTTCACAAAATGGTCAATTCACAAGAAATCAGAGAGACAGAATTTAAATTGAGACATTTCAACTTAGTAACTTGAGACAAATAGTAAAATCACATAGTAGAAAAATTAGTAGGAACAGCATTCTCTTCCTATAAGATGAGTGGATAATGGAGAAAAGAAGTATCCAATGAAGTTGACTCAGTAATTTCACTTTTAGGTGAATAAAAAGAGATCTGAAGTATTGTTCAGTGAACATTATAAAATAAATATATGAAAATGACTCATAGGAAAGAAATAAAGTTTTGAAAAACTCACTGGAAGAGTGGACAGAAATGAGTGAACCAGATCTAACTTGCTTAATTTGTTGTCTTTGGAGAGCACTTAACTTCGAATGTCTTGGTTCATTTTTTTTTTATAGTGTAAAATGGTAATACCAGCTTCTCCAGGCAAAATTAGAGCAGAGAAAATGGATAAAGCAGAAAGTGTCACAGACATTATTGTTAGATCCTTTGGCTGGGACAAAATAAACAGTGTAAGGGAGGAAAGATTTATTTTGGTTCACAGCTTTAGGGATTTCTCAGAGTTAGCAGTTGACTCCATTGGTATGTGACTATGATAAGGCAGCATGTTATAGCAGGAGAAGCATGTGGTACAGTAGACTGCTTACCTCATAGCAGCCAGTAAGCAAAGAGAGAGAGAAAAGGCCAAGGACAAGATGAACTTGCTAAAGGTATTGTCTCAGTGACTGTTTCCTCCAGTCACACTCTCCCATAGCCCAATCATCAGCGACTACTCTCTTAGTAAGAAAGAGTCCTCATGATCCAACCTGACCTAGACAGTCCCCTGCCCCCTGAGACACTCTTTCACAGGTGACTCCTGTGAGTTTGGAACCCTGGGGGAAAGGTATCCTCCTGACTACTTGGGAAGTCAGGCAACATCTTGAGCTGCTAAGACAGCTCTGATGGCTGGAGCTGTGATGAGTCAGCTCTGCCCTGGAGAGCAAGGTATCCCAGATACCTGGAGTTGCTAGGACAGCTCAGCCCTGGAGGTATCCTGGATACCTGGAGCTGCTGGGACAGCTCTAATGATTAGAGCTGCAATGAGACAGCTCAGCCCTGGACAGGAAGGTATTCTGACTGCTCAGGAGAGTCAGGCCTGGAGCTGCTAGGACAGCTCAGCAGGGAAGGGTATCCTGACTGTTCAGGGAGTCAGGCTATACCTGGTGTGGTGGGGGATGGTCTCCCCGCAAGATATAGCAATCCTGCTCCTCTCCTGGAGAGCCACTATAACTGAGATTTGCTCAGCCCCCACTTAAGGGGGCTTCCTAGCA